TATATATATATGGCACTGCCTATTTTTCATCTTATTTGCCTTACATTTACAGATTTCTACTTGTGTAATTGCAGTTATTTAGTAACGTACTGCCATCAGTACCTCAATTCAGCTATTAAAGTGGACATATCATGCTTTTAAATCTTTTGTTTTCACATTTGAATCAATCAGTTAGAGTCTGTAAAAAGTTGAAATACTGTACTTTGGTCTGAATTCTTCATTGTAACTCTACAAGCCCCTCTTTCACACTTTTTCAGAGGTGTGTCTTATATCAACTCGTTTTGAGGCTGTCTCTTTAATTCTAAATAAGGCRCTTCACATCYCCTCCAGCTTCCAGACCAGTTCAGTCTAGTCTGATAGAGGGGTTTATGACTACATAGCAAATGAGTTAAAAGACGTCAACAAGGGAAGACTGGTTCATCCAGTCTTACATGTTGGAGTCTGACCAAGAACCAGAGAAGGATGAAGATTATGAAATTGTAGTTGCTAAGCCCAGACCTTATATAGACGTTTCATGGCAAAGACTGTGAGGTAATAGTTCAGAACACGTCATAGAAAATAGAGATAACTGAACTGGTTGAAAACTATGACCCAAACAGAATGTAGAGATATTTATGCAGCACCAGGAGAGACTAAATTCAACTTTTCTGCTCTTTTAGAGACTCAAAGTACACAAGTCGATTTTGCATATGTCCCTTTTAACAAATAAGTTATTTTTAAACAGTCACTCATAAAATTAGATAGTATTTAAAAACAAGTAGAAGCTGTGGTTTAAACCTTAATAATTTCACCAATTTCCCTTTACAGTTACATCAAATGGTATGGTTTCGAAAGCAGCAGCAAGCTGTAGTACAGATCGTGCAGCCTGGAGCACTCATTTATTAATAAGCTCCTAACTGACCAAAAATATTAAACACAATGACAATAACCCTCTCCGTCTTCTACCGCTTAAGTGTAGTCGGGTCGCAAAGGCAACAGGTCCCGGAGAGACGTCCGTGAGGTCTTCCCAGGCCAGAGGGAAACATAATCCCTCCAGCGTGTTCTGGGTCTGCCCCAGGGGTTTCTTACTTGGAAAACCTCTAAAGGAAGGTGTACGAACCACCTCAACGGTCCACAAACAGGGTCAGAGATGAGGGACGGACAAGGCGGAGTCCAACCCACGTCCCGACCAGAGTTTGATTTTGTGCCAAGAATGTGGACACAGCTCCTGCTTTGGTTATAATCCCACAGAATGCCTCGTGGTCATAAATCTTGCCCCGGTCCACAAAAGACATGTAGACTGATGAGTCAAACTCCCATGACCTCCTTAGCAACTTTACAAGGATGRTCTGATGGACACTGCTTGTCCTGAATCCGAGGACACCCCGTATACTAAAATTGGCAAGCCACATTTTTGTGACCCATTTCTACAAATCTGTGTGAATCTTATTATTTTTAAATAACACAATCAAAACTGTGATTTAAAACACAAACTTTTATGCAAGAACTGCACAACTTTCCAGGCATCTGAATAATCATCTGTTTATCATGACAGCGACACGGGTGCTCAAGTCTGAAAAAAATTATAAATTCCYGTATTTTCTTAAACCCATACATGCTTTGATGCAGATTAATCTGGGAAAACTATCATCTAAAAGTCGTCCATATAATCCAGACTATAAGTACTGAGTGCAGTTGCCAGGTGGCTCGGAACGAACGACGAGTTTCTGCAAATTCTGCTTTGATCAAATGCTTTTCAAATGTCAGCCGTGCAATAAATGCAACGCCATTGTTTGTAAGGCTTCAAGCAGCAGGCTTAAGTTTATATTTGCTCATTGGCATTCAGAAGGTAGCCGTTTTTAAATGAGGATCTGGGTTTTAGAAGCTCTATGCTGTCAACGTATACTTTAGAAATCGTTCATGGTAGCACACARCGATAATAGAGAAGTTTGTTCAGCATGAAAAGCATAACAATATAACTCTTTCATGTCTGTAAAGGACAACATGATGTCCTTGGCTCTGAATGCCAAATGTCTTAACTGTCACTCTTGGCAAACGGCAACAAAGGTCTTGTCTTTCATTGTAGAAGAAAAGTGAAAACATTGCATGTACTGTCTAAACTCAATCATGAAGGTGACAAAATTAGTTTTTACTTTAAAATGTCATTTTCATGAATATGAAATGTGYCCTGGACGATAAATAGGCTCATAACAAAATCAAATGAAGTTGTTTTTTTACATTTTGCTGAAAGCCAAACGGAACATGTTTCCAGAACAGATGAAAGTTCTGTGAAAATTTTCAAGTCAGTTTAAAWATAAAAAGATTGCCAAAACAACTTGGGATGTGGGCGCAACCAGAACAAAATGTGGGAAAAGATCACAGAAATTACAGTTAACATCTATATCAGATTTAAACATCTTGAAGCAGGGATCATCAATTACGGTCCTCGAGGTCTGCCCTGCATGTTTTACTTTTTTTTTCCTTCTCTAACACACCTGACTCAGTCAGTGAATTACCTCTTCCAAGTTCTGCAGAAGCCTGATAATCATCCATTCATTTAAATCAGGTGTGTTGGAGCAGAGAAACAAGTAAAACATGCAGGGCTGCGGACCTCGAGGACCGGAATTGATGATTCCTGTCTTAAAAAATCCTTTGGCTGGGTAAATTTGGTGTATAAGTTTGAATGACACTTCTTTAATTGTATTGGTAAGAAAAACAACATCAAAACCAACATGGAGGTCTTAAGGCCTCAACATGCTCCATCCGAAGCCGAACAGTCGACGAGCGGTTACGTGGTTGTTCAGCGTTTGTTTTCCCACACACCTTTCATAGCTCCTGCGACACACCATGCTGAGCTCCAGGG